AGCAATAAATAGTCGTTTTAAAGAGCACTCAAAATTGCACTTATAGTGTAGAAATAAAGACTTTGTTTACATAGAATGTGAGAAAATAAATAATTTTTATCTAACATCTTCCGCCTATTGACTTTATGATCGTTCTTCCTTTGTGACAAGAAGTTATAAATAACTAACATCACATGCTCACTGTCGCACGGATGTTTTTTTTCATCGACTTCGTTACACAAAAACAAATTGTAGTTTTGTAATTTTAAATGTACAAAAAATCATATTTTAATAATAACGGAAATTTTCAATCTTAATCGATCATTATCGACCAGAAAAAAATCGTAGACTTTAAGAACATAAACATATGTTGTGTGTAGTTTTTGATATTGCATTTTTTTCATGAAAATAACACATGATAATTACTTAGAGATAGATTAACTATGAAATTAAGACTCAATTATAAATAAAGTTGAAATCGTCTTAAGTCGTTATGATATCTTAGAAGTAGAATAAGAGATTGATTTGAATCTATGACATGGAAATTCTAATTTAAAAAAGTTAAATATAAAATAATTACAATTCTTATTATAAAAAGTAAAGTATAAGATAATTATTTTCTAATAATAATTTTCTTTACATACCATTATTGATATAGATCGTATCTGTAAGTGCAGAGCAAAAAAATACAACATAAACTTGTGTAATGTGTTTTTTTTGTGCAGATACTTATAAAAATTTATATCTATAATATTACTGATCATGTATTTTTGAAGATATGAACGATAGAGTTGAAATCAATCATTTCAATCTAACAACAAAATCTATATTTTTATTTGATAGAAAAATGAGAAAATTTTCATAATAATGTATGTTAACAAGAAAAAAACGAAAGAAGAATATGCGAATATAAACACACATCACCCCATATATTTTAAAAAGGTTTCAAAAGTCATCCATAATAAACAACACGCCATATTTTTTATAGTCTTCTTCTACTTCAATCAAACTTGGTTGCTTATTTATTTTATAATATTGTTAAAACGATAAATGTTTTTACAAAGCCACATTTGAATGTGTCTCTATATAAACATCCATGCTTGTCAATCATGATGTATTAATAAAGAAATGCATAGTTTTAATTTATGTACGTAAATCGTTCATTTTGTTTTCAGTCGTAGAAAAGTTTAACATGTTAAAGATTTTGTTTCTTGACATATATGTTTGAAGTGAATTAGCAAAACTCTATTTTTCTTAACTTTTCTGGAATGTATATATAAATATGCTACCGTTATTACATGTACTTTTGTTATAGATATTTGATGTATTCTGTATCTATTTTAAATAAATCAATACATAATTAAATTTCAATGGGAATCTTTGGTTCAAAATCACGTCGACACGTCACTCCGATCGAAACAAATACTTCCTCAAATGAAAGTAGTTCTACAAGATCACAAACTCTTCACAATATTTATCGTAATAATAAATTTATTTTCATATATGTTGATGTTAATGCAAATGAATCGGATGCGATTCATCAAAATTGTTTATCTCGTCTTCAGCATATTTTTATATCATTTCATACATTTACAAATCCCAAAGATTTCATGAAATTTCTTTCGACAATTAAAACTGAAATGATTATATTGATTATTTCAAATGATTTCTTCGAACAAATCTATTCTCGTCTTAAATCATTCACACAAATTCATTCTATCTATATTCTTTCTTCGGATATCGAAAAGAAAAATATTTCTTATCAAGAAGATAATAAAATTCAAGGTATTTTTACACGAATAGAATCTATTTGTAATTTTCTTCAACGTAATACAAAATATTTTAAACAAGATTCTCTTACTATGAGTATAATACCTTCAATGAAATATACGAAAAATAATTTACAACAAATAAATCAACTATTTATTTATTGGATGTTAGTAAAACAAATTATTTTAGAAATAAAATATGATAATAATAACAATGCACTTAAAAATTTTACAAAATTTTGTCGTATACAATATTTTAATGATAATATTGAATTAATAAATATTAATGAATTCGAAAAAAATTATCATAAACATTCACCTATTTGGTGGTATACGCAAAAAACATTTCTTTTTCATATGCTTAATCAAAGTTTTCAAACACAAGATATTGAAATTATTATTCGTATGACATTTTTTATTAAAGATCTTTATCAACAAATGAATACATTAAAAACAATCAAATTACCAATAATTACTTATCGAACGCAAAATATATCAAATTCTGATTTTGAAAAAATGAAAAATATTCAAGGTAATCTTTTATCATTTAATAATTTTCTAATAACAAATTCTAATTATGAAACATCATTAAATATGGCTCAAAAAAATAATACTGAAATTACTGTTGTATTTTCTATTAAAATTGAATCTAATCAACCATCAAGTCCTTATGCTTTGCTACAAAATAATTCTATTCTTTTTTCTATGCATTGTATATTTCGTATTATTAATATAAAACAAATTGAAAATTATCTTTGGAAAATAGATCTACTATTAACTGATAATCATGATGTACAAATAATAAATCTTACTAATTTATTACGATATGAAACTCAAGAATCAATGAATTGGTTTAAACCTCCACAATTAATAAGTTCGATTCATGATTATGATCATGCGAAAGATATTTATTTTTCTCTATTAGAATATTATATATCAGAAAATGATATTTTAAAAGTAGGATATATTTATAATGAATTAGGAATATTATATGATCAAACATGTAATTATACATTAGCACTTTCATATTTTGAAAAAGCAATTGAAATTCAACAAAAATATTTACCTTTAAATCATCGATCATTAAGTATTTCATATAATAATATGGGTGAAGTTCAAAGACAAATGGGTGATTATTTTAATGCATTATCAACACATAAGAAAACACTTTCTATGAAACAAAAAATTCTTCCTGAAAATGATTTATCATTTGCAACAACGTATAATAATATTGGATTAACTAATGAATTACTTGGAGAATTTTCCACAGCACTTAGTTTTTATGAAAAAGCAATTGAAATTAAACGAAAAATTCTTCCACCTAATCATCAAGAATTAGCAACAACTTATAATAATATTGGTGAACTTCAACGAGCAATGGGTAATTTTTCAATTGCATTAATAAATCTTGAAAAAGCACTTCATATTCGATTAAAAAAAGTTTCACCAACTGATTCATCATTAGCTATTATTTATAATAATATTGGTCTTATTCATCAAGAATTAGGAGATTTTTCGAAAGCAATTTTATATTTAGAAAAATCACTTGATGTTAAATTAAAACATTTCCCATCAAATCATCCATCATTAGCATTTTCATATAATAATATAGGTACTATTCATCAACAAATGGGACATTTTTCTCAAGCACTTCGTTCCTATCAAATAGCACTCGATATTCAAGAAAAAATACTTCCTTCTACTCATCCTGAAATTGCTATAACATATACAAATATCGGTATTTCTTATCAAGCAATGGCAAATTATTCTATGGCACATTTATATTATCAAAAAGCAATTGAAATACGACAAAAATCATTTCCTTCAAATCATCCATTACTTGGCGTATCATACAATAATTTAGGTCATCTGCATCAATTAATGGGAGAATATAATCGAGCACTTGAATATTATCAAAAAACACTTGAACTTCAAAAGAAATCTCTTTCATCAAATCATCCAGCATTAGCGTCAACTTATAATAATATTGCAGATATTCATAGAAAATTAGAAGATTATAATAAAGCATTAATATTATATAAACGATCACTTGATATTAAAAAGAAATCATTACCTATAAATCATCCAGCATTTATTATAACATATAATAATATAGGTTCTATATATCAAGCACTAAAAAATTATCCTGCTGCACTTGAATCTTACAAGAAAACACTTGATATTCAACAGAAAACTCTTCCGTCTGATCATCCAGATTTAGCTGCTATTTATAATAACATAGGTGTTAGTTATCAATCGATGAAACAATATTTGACGGCACTTGATTATTATAAAAAGGCATTAGCAATTCAAAATAAAAGTCTTCCATCTACACATCCTGATATTGCTACTACTTATAATAGTATGGCAACTGTACTTGTAGATCTTGGAGAGTATGAAAATGCTTTAAAATATGAACAACATGCACTTGATATTGCGAATCAAACTCTTGCACCTGATCATCCTCATTTAGTAACTTTTAGAGATTATTACGAACGAATAAATATAAAAGTTAAATCAATGAAAAATAAATAATTGTTTGCATAAAAGACTATTGTTTTTTGTTTTGTATTACGTTTTATTTCTTAATTTTAAGTAGAATAATGTATATCTACAATATTCTTCTTATATTCTTATTTAAAATCCAAATCAATGAATGTTCGATATATTGCAACTAAACTACTTCTCCATCTTGTCAATTCGTCTATTATTCCGTATAAGCAAATTCGAACCGTATTGTATGATGCTATGTTAGATCCTGATTCCAATGAAGATTTATAGTTAATTGTAAAGTAGGATAAAGTTTAGGCAGAGTGTGCATATTATTATGTTGGTCCATTGAAAGATGTTATTTATTCTCTTTTTATTTCATGTTTGACTATAGACATGTTACTAAAACTATTCAATGAAAGGAATTGAATGATATTGATTCTGATTTTATTCAATCTGAAAAAGCATCACGTCTTACTTCTTGTCTTTACGAGAAGAAAACTGAAGAGATTGTAGAAACAGAGAGATGATCAATAGCAAGTGATCGCGTCAATGATAATAAGAAAAATACACAGCACATTATGCTTTTTTTCTTTATTTTTCATATTAATCTAATATGTTATTAAACTTTATATAAAATAAAAGGGTAGATGTGAATACGAGTGTGGATATGTCTATTTTATTCATCCAGTCACACTCATACCTCAACCTCAACGATGACACATGGAGAATAAAAAGAATGGAAAAATCCAAGTGTATGTGACATAAGGAAGAAGAGAATAGAAAAAAAGGAAAATACCAAGTGACCATCTTGAGGTCGTGAGTACAATTTGTAGATATTACGACTATCTTTTATCAACACGCACATTCACACTCATCCACAGTACAATTCTAAAATCATTTAAATAGTCACCTTCACATTTTTCTATTAGATTTTGAATTTTTTAGCTGCACTATTTTTAAAAACTACGCCATACAGAATAAATGTGCGTCTTTTTCTGTTCTTTTTTTCCAACGTACGACAGAACGCACGTGTATATAAAATATGATTTTATTTATCGTAAAATAATATACGATAAATTTTTCAATACTTTTATAAATGTAAATGGTAAGTCCGATAGGTACTCTTGTGTCTTTAATATTAGAAATTCGAATTTATGTTTAATTAATAGAAGATAAAAAAATTATAGTACATATACTATAAAGAATTTCAGATTTTTAAAAATGTATCTCAATTAAATACAACAAGCTGTATTTGACGATTAGCTAGACGATATACAAAACGAATAGCAATAAGTTATTTGATCAAATTGAATATTTTGTTTTTGTTATAGATTAATCTAATATATTACAGAACATATCGATTCTTTATTATGATTATACAAATATTTACTTTCTTTTCGATCTTTAACTGTGGTGTCACTAGTTTACAAGCTAGTGATTTTTATATCCATGATTTACCTCTTTTACCTAAAGAGGAATCTTCCATTCGTATGCATGCTGGATATTTACCGATCAATCCAGAAAATGATAGTGCCTTATTCTTTTGGCATTTTGCTAAGAAATTTATAGGTGATAAATCAAGAACAGTGATTTGGTTGAATGGAGGCCCTGGTCAAAGTAGTCTTATTGGGGCTTGGACAGAAATTGGTCCGTTTCGCTTTCTAAACGAAACTACAATAGTTGCAAATAATGGATCCTGGCATTTATATACTAATCTTTTGTTCATCGATCAGCCTATTGGTACTGGTTTTTCTTACACTGATAAAGGTTCATTCATTCAAGAACTCGACAAAATGGCCGATCAATTTCTCAGTTTCCTCGATAGATATGTCGAGATTTTTCCAGAATTACTTCAGGATGATATATATTTAGCTGGTGAATCTTTTGCTGGTCAGTATATACCATATATTGCACAAGCGATTCTTCAAAAGCGATCACTATTCAAACTGCGTGGTCTTCTAATTGGAAACGGATGGATTGATCCTGTTTCTACCTATAACTCATATTTGCCATTTGCAATTAAAAATAATTTAGTAAAAAAAGACTCTAAACTCTATTCTATCATTACTGGCATGGCTGTCGAATGCAAGCAGATATTATCAAAACAAGTACATATTTTTGAACCTGAATGTTACTCTATTCTTCGTCTGATAATATATAATGGTATGATGAACCAATACTTCATAGGGAACGAAACAGATTTATGTATCAATGCACATGATATTCGACAAGCTGCAATGAAACCTGATTGTGGTATGTTAGGACCACCTGATTTTGACTATGTCTCCAATTATTTGAATCGGCAAGATGTCCTATCCAGTATTCATGTAAATGGCAAGAAATCTAATTGGTCATCTATCGAAGCATCTGTTTTTCTTGCATTTATATCAACTCATTCTGAACCATCGATCAACTTGTTGCCTGATTTACTTCGACAAATTCCAATCGTGCTCTTTAGTGGTGAATATGATTTAATTTGTAATCATTTGGCAACAGAGAATATGTTAGATGGTATGACATGGAATGATAAAACTGGTTTTAATTTAGGAAATGGAACAGTGGCTCCGATCGATCCATGGATTGTGGAAGGCGAAACCGCAGGTTTCATTCAATATGCACGTAATTTAACTTATATTCTTTTCCACAATGCTGGTCATATGGTACCTTATAATCAAGGACGTCGATCACGTGCTATGCTACATCAATTTATACAACTGAACTTAACTCATTCCAGCAATCAAACAATGGAGAATAATAATACAGGGGTTAATCCAATCATGCATCGTTATTTTAAGCATTTTATATTAATTGTATTTACTGTAATTATTACTGTTATAGCTCTTACTGGTATTATTAGATATTTTGCTTGCAAGCTGCAACAAAGTGTACTAACAGTACCGTATCATTCTCCGAATTTATTTCGATCAAAACAACAACCAACAATGTATACACTTTTGAATGGAAATCGTGATGTATTAGATGATAAAATTTCAGCGTAATATACATCGAGTCTTACTAATCTATATTATTATACTCAGCGAGGAGAACTCGAACATATTCTAAATAATTTATTTCAAAATAACTTTATTTCTGATTGTTACGCACTATATAATTAATTTTTTTCTTTTAAATAATATTGTATATTTTGAACAATTACTTTCTTCTTTCGTTGGAAACTATCAATTCATGATAGCAATACACAAGATGACTCAGCTTTTTTCTGACACACATTATTTTCATTGGTATAGAAAAAAGAAAAAGTTTATTATTCTAACTGATGTTCATTGAATCCTTGTTTCAAATATTCTCAGAGATTATAACTGACAGAAGCTTGATCTGATGATTTGAGAATTTAATCTTCAAATATAATATAATTAACTTCTATTTCATTCAAAACTGAAACACAAACAATCTTTGAAAATGAGTAAGAATAAATGAATATACAAGTTAAAAAGTAGGATATCACATGCAAGAGTATCTTCTGTTATTTAAGAGCAGTGTTCAAGAGTTGGGTGCCGTAAAAAAATAAGACTTCCCTGTTGAGCTTCGAGAGTAGATGCTTTTTTCAATAAAATCTTCGACTCCAAGTGGAACATAATGCCAATTTGACGATGATGTTCAACAAATATATGATAAGTAAATTTTTTGTATTCGTCATTCTTACAAATGAAATGTATTAGATTTGCGATATATGCCACAAGTAAATGTAGCTCACCATTAAAAATTGGTCGAATTTTGTCCGGATGAGGCTTACCATCAAGAAAGAAAATGATGTATGGATCATCAGCAATCTTTTTTTCACTATAAAAATGAGTATACAATCTAATATTACCAACATGAAGAGTTTGATAGAATTTAAGCTTTGAAAATTGTCGGTGGAATTGTTATACATAAATATATTAGAAAGATAGTTATCAAAGTTTATATCTATGGAATTAAAATTACGGATATGTAAATTACCTATTATTTCTTGCACATGACGCCTAATTCTTTTAGGAACATCCATTAATCGACCTGAACAACAAATTAGCTAGATTAGTAAAAATTAAAAAAATTGCTTTATTAATTTACCTAAATCATTTTTCAAATTGAGATGGTGTATACGTATGAAGTGTCCCCAAATTTCGTATAGTATCTGGAACATGTACCAGAGAGTGTATAATTGACACGCAATTTATTGTATCGTAGAGCTCAGAGAGCCTAAGTACGAAATTTCGAGCAAGTCTATCAATCGTATTTATGTACCCAGAGGGAAACTTCTTTGTTTTCCGACACACGCATCATCATTACCGATTCTAAGAATGAATGTAGTAACAGTTTTTCGATACATTCTTGAAGATAACATATTCGAATAATAGCAAAATTCGTATTTCACTTGCTTTAAATTTAGAATATGAAGCAAGTCAATCTTTCATCCATTAATCTTGATCAAACCATAATCGGAACATCTTTTCTAAACATAAAAGAACTCAAAAATATCATAAAAATGTTAGGATTTTTTACATACGAATGCTCCAGTGTAAACATTATGCAATGTAACTGCCATACATGAATATCCGACATCGAAGTGTAATAGTTCTCGTAATATACGAGGCCCAAGGATTTCTTTTTTCTTCTGTATTGTACTTTTCGATCTGTGATTTCCTGTTTCAACATGAAATTGACTGTAATGTCCGTTTATGAAACGCCTTTAAATTGACAGCATGTCATATCGCGTGTTGGATCGTAGATACGTCTCTTCCAATTCGTTCGATGTCATACCAAAACTTCGTACATTTCCATCTTTTCCAGTTCATATCGTAAAGCCTACAACTATTATTCTTAGAATCATTGTTCCTTTATAAAAATTAATGTACCTTTTATTTCGCATTTACCACATCCATATGCAGTTGTTGGTTCTAGTAAAACCTGAAGTAATGCTTGCGCAGGTTTATCACAGCACGATCCAATTAGAAAGGCACATCTCGTAATCAAAGTCTTGTTACCATTAAGCAAACTAAATATTACACCTTGTTCGAGTATAATGAGCTCATTAACAAGAGGACGTAAAAAAGGTTCATATCAGAACGTGTTGGCTTCTTAGGACCTGGCCACACACCTGCTAAAATGATGTTCTAAAGATCGGCCATATAGATTGTTGTGAGTCTTTATTTGGTTGGATACCATCTACATTCATTGTCAACGTTAAGAATGATTCTCAAATTGTTGCTTGTAGATTTTTATACACGGTTACATCATAGATATCCTTCATGGAATTTACTTGAGGACAATACATTGATAAACCGTATCTGATGTATTGAACTGACTTTGGATAGATGAGAGTGTAATTGTCAAGCATCAAAGAATATATATGATAACTTCCTTAACATAAACAAATGTTAAGTTTTAGTCTATGTTCAGAATTGTAGCTAAATTACATGAACAAGTGTTGATCAAATGATCAATATGAATTACTTTACTTATGCATCCATGTTGTCTGATATTCTAGCACTTCAACTTCAAGTGTCTCAACATCTGGTGGACGTACAATGTGTATACTTTTAGACATTGTACCGTTACATGAATATTGAATAGATTTTGAATGTGTTTCATCACCATCTTCATCGAGACGTTTTCGCTTTTTAGCAGTTGTAGTTGTTAATTCTGGATCTTCTAAAAGTATACATACAGACTATAAGTAAATCAATTTCAATATAAATACTTAATTAAAATGATTGATTGAGAACTAATAGAATTCAATATAGGAGCATCTTTTAACGAAGGCTGATCGTCAATGTAAAGAACATTATCTTTATGTATTTCACCATTCTTTACATGATTCATCTTACTTTCGAGTTCATCATTACATTTTCTTTTATCATCTTGAGGGTGTGGGTGTGGGTGGGTCTCGGTGTGGGTGTGGCTGTGGCTATTAAATGAAACATGTACTCACACCCACCCGATATGTATATATGTATATATTTTTCTTTCCGTTCTGTCTGACGAAAGTTCCCGAACTGAAACTTTGTATATTATAATATAGATGCTTGTAAAAGAAAAAAAAGTATTTCTAGATATCTTAACATCTACATTCAGGGGTGGCGCGACCGGGGGGGGCGGGGGTGTAACACCCCCCCAATCTTTGAAAATTTCTATTTTTTGCTCAACAAAATCGGCAAGTTTTCGTAAGTTTTTAAACAAAGGTCATGTTACACCCTCTAAAAAATCAAAAAAACTTCGCTACACCCCGCCAAAAAATTTCGTTACACCCCCCCCAATGTTGGCTGACTCGCGCCACCCCTGTCTACATTATTTATTCTTCCTGTAGAAAATGAAGAAGAAAAGTCACAGAAAAAAAAGTACTTTGTTTTTCTGTGTCAAGGAAAGATCAACAGAACGAATAAGATCATAGAATCAATACAATTATTTCTTTATTTTGAGTTTTTTTAACGAAATAAATATTTGTTTCATTCTTTCAAATGAAGATATAATTAAGTAAAACAAATTTTATTTATTTATCATTATTGAGACAATTTCTTATATAATAATCGGCACTTCAAAACTAGCGTGTATATTTAGTATGAAGTTAAAGGACAAGTTCGTGAGAGAATAAAGTTTTGATCATGCCATAAAGACATATGTATGATGAAATGATTTGTAAATAGCAAAACAAAAGGAACATTTTTTTTATATAATATATAAGACATATCGACTAATTTAAGTGAAAATAATAAAAAAAAGACTGAGTTAACAAATGGAATATTTTGAATAAAAATAAAATAATAAGCATTTTGTTTTCATTGATTATCAGAGGATAGAAAAAAAAGATCTGTGTTGTTAAGAGGAATGCATTCTCGTGTGCTTCGAAAGGAAAAAAAAAGCGAACGAATGCTTCTGTGTATAGTAGTCGATAGAAGCGAGAGAGAAGAGGAAAAAAAAGAAGTGGCAGAATAACATTTTAAAAACATCTTTCTTTCAGTGTATTGATTAGACTAAAAAAAAGAAGTAAAGAACGAGAAAAATATTATTGTTTACCTTAAATTATTCATTCTATTTTAGAATATAGACGAGTTCGGTGTGATTAGTTTGCCAAAAAAACATTTGATTTTAGTTAAAAAATGCCATTAAAAGCATTTTTATTGAACGAAATTTTCGGTCGAAAATGTCGTCTCAATGGTGTTTGGCCTTCAAATCGTCTACCAAACAAATCACATTTACGTCAATCATTTAGTGATCGTGTTGTTTACAGTCCGGAAGAACTTCCTCCGAAAACTGATCTTCGAAATGACATGACATCAGTAGAGAATCAATCAAGTATTGGCAGCTGGCAAGTTTTATTCGAATAGATTAAGTAATAAGAATTTTTTTTTCTTTTTTTTAGTTCAGCTAATGCTTTAGCAGGTAAGAATTAAATAAGATTTTATATTATTGATTTGTTTTCTTCTTAGGTGCATATGAATATTTGACTAAAAAGAAACATGGTGAACAGATTGATGTCAGTCGACTTTTTATTTATTACAATGGACGTGCAAAAGAAAATTCATCGGGATCAGTAACAGATTCCGGATGTTCAATGACAAGTGCTATTGAAGCTCTTGAAGAATTTGGTACTTGTGTTGAATCTATATGGCCATATGATGTATCAAGAGTAAACACACGACCGAATAACCAAGCATATCAAGAAGCAAAACCTCATACAATTTCTGAAGCACTTCAAGTCAAAATTGATTTATACGAAATGAAATCATGTCTTGCACAAGGTTTTCCTTTTGTATTTGGACTTCGTCTTTTCACATCATTTGATAAAGCAGCAACAGGAGGCGTTGTACCTATGCCAAGTTCAAGCGATCGCTCTCGTCAATCTGATGGCAGGTAGAAAGATTTTCTCATTGGAAAAAAAACAATAGAAACAATATTTTTTTCTATTTTTAATAGTCATGCACTTGTTGCCGTTGGTTATAGTGATCAATCACAATCATTTATTGTTAGAAATTCTTGGGGAGAAGATTGGGTAAGAGAGTTTATTTACATGAGAATCATTCATCCATTATTGTTTTGATTAAATATTTAAGGGTGATAGAGGATATTGTTACATTCCATACGATTATCTATCAGATCCCGATCTTTGTTTTGATTCATGGACAATTCGTAAAGTATCCGGTGACGATATTGGTCAAGATCATTGGGATTATAATGATGATACCGATTATCAAAGTAATGCTGATAATTATGGTGATGATGATTCGAATAGTACGATTCAACATTTCGATGAAGACGATTTTGGTGGAATGAACTTTGGTGGTGGTGGTGCTGATGGTGGGTTTAATAGAGGAAGAAATGATCAACAGTGGAATCAACCTGATAATTTCGGTTTTAATGATCAACAATGGAACCAAGGTGACAACAATTTTGGTTTCAATGATCGGGGAAATGATGGTCAAGGTTGGAATCAAAATGATAATTCTGGTTATAATGATCGAGGAAATTATGATCAACAATGGAATCAAGATAATCAATCTGGTTCTCATCATAAACACCATGGTCATCATCATCACAAACACTAAAACTATGATTGGTATATTATTATTTATTTTATTCGATTATCATTCTTATATTTGTTTTCTTTTAGAATAATAACAAATGACAAGATCATTATCAACAATCGATGAAAACTAACATTCTACAGTCATTTCGATTGTTTATATACACGTTTAATGTAGTTTCAAATATAAAATATCTGAATATTTAATGAAATATAAAATATCTGAATA